TTATTCTTGGCTGACAATTTTTTTCTTTCAAGGTTTTTTTATATGTCATCCCATTGCCTTCTTGCTTGCATGGTTTCTGCCGAATAATCTGAGCTTAGTCTTATTGTTTCTTCTCTGTATGTGACTTCTTGTTTTTCACGAGCTGCTGTCAGGATTCTTTGTCTGTCTTTGGTTTTGGCGAGTGTGATTTTGATATGCCTTGGTTGTATTCTTTTGGGGTCTATCCTATAAGGGGTTCGATGAGCTTCGTGGATGGCCAGCTTTTCATCTTTCATGATATTGGGGAAGGTTTCTGTCAGCAGTTCTTCAATGATCCTCTCAGTGTTTTCTGTTTTCTCCCCCTGTTGTGGAACTCTGATCACTTGCCAATTTTTGGTTTTGATTGTATCCTACATAATTTTCAGGGTCTCTTCATTTTTCTGATTTTCCTCAGAGTTGTATCCAAGTGTTTGTCTTCAGTTTCGCTGATACTGTCTTCTATTGTTGCAAACCTGCTCCTCAGTCCTTCTATGACACTGTCCTTTTCTGACATCTTGTTGTTTATCTTTTGAATTTATAATTGTTGTATTTGTATGATTTCTAGTTGTGAATTTATTTTGGCTTTTTTTTCCTGCATTATTTTCCTGAATTCTGCCATGTTGAGGTCTGTATTTTCCATGAATTTTTTTACCTTTTCCTTGAATTTGTCTGTTTTTTCCTCACTTTTGTCTGCTTTTTGCCTCAACTCTTGGATAGCTCTGAATATTAGAGATTTGAATTCCCTATCAGGTAGTTCTAGTGCCTCTTCTTCTACTGGAAAGTCATCTGGTGTTTTATTTTGGATGCATACTGGAACCGTCTTGTTCTGTTTTTGTAAATGTTTGATATTGTCTGCTGTCTTCAGGGAATTCAGTAGTTATTTTCCTCAATTACTTACTCTAGATTTGTTTGTTTTGTCTTGTGTTTTTTCTCATTTGGCTATGTCAGAGCAGGCGAGCTGTATGTTCTTTGTTGGTTGCTTGTCTGTGGGCAGGATACTTTTCACCTCCTTCTATAATTGGCTGGGTCTGTCGCTCATATATGGTATTGCACGGCAGGTCTAGCTGAAGAGAAGTTTCTGGGATGGGTTGTTTTTGGCACTTTCTACAGCCACCAGGGCAGGCTAGTAATCAGTGCAGGGCAGGTTCTGGTAGGCTGTGCCTGGGCTGTATGGTGGTGTGATGTTCAGCCCACAATGTAGGTAAGCAGGATGGAGGGCAGAGACTATGATGTGTGGGGCTAAGATGGATACGGGAAAGAGCAGAGAGGAATGGAAGCCAAAAATGTAGAAACATACTAAAAAGTGTGCTAGGGGAGCTTGCTGTTGGAGTGGAGAGTTGAGAGACTATGAAATGGATAAAAACAAAAGGAGAAGAAAAAAAGAAAAGAAAAAATGAATAAATAAAAATTATAAAGAAAGAAGAAAAGCAAATGTTCCAGGGATACCACCGGTGTGGCTGTGAGGTCTGGGGAAGTTGCTTCCAGGCTGTGAAGTACAGTCTGGCTAGAAGGGGTAGAGATGTCACTCAGTGCCAGGTATTTAGGGGACAGGAAGAGAAGGAAAGTATAGAGAGATGAGAAACTGAGTAATGAAGAAAGAGAAAAAGGGAAAAGGGGGAAAACAAAACTAAACAAACAAAAAAAAGAACAAGAAAAATCCTCAAAGAAGAAAAGAAAAAAAGCCACCACCACCCAAAAAAAAAAATAGAGAAATGCTCTCGGGGATCCCTCTGTGCATCTGTGCAAACCGATTGAGTAGGTCCCAAGCTATGCAGTACTGCCTGGCTAGAATGGGCTCCCAATTCGAGAAAAGAAAAAGAAAACAAATGAACAGTTCAAAACAAGCCAAAAAATTCCCCAAGATCCTACCAGCATGGCAGCACAGGCTGGGAAGCAGTTTGACATTTGAATGGTGTTTCACAGCCTTTCAGAAAGAAGCAAAGATGGCACACAGAGCCAGGTATTTGAGAAAAAGGAGGGGGAGGTGGTGAGAGATAAGGAAGAAATCTAAAGAAGCAGAAAAAAACAATAGCAGCAGCCAACAAATGGCACTTAGGGAGCCAGACAGTGTGGTGGGTGGAATCCAAGGGACACCGGAGTGAAGGTGGTTCTTCCCTGCTAAGAAACTGGCTGAAGGAAGCAGAGCAGGCCTAGTGGGGGTGAAGAAGGGTGGGGGATGGGAAAGTGTATATCACTGGTTACCAGTTGTTCTGTCTTCTTCTGGAAGCTCTGTGAAGCTGCTTTCCCATACTCTCTGTTCAGTGATCTCTGATAGGAGTCCAAGATGGTGAATCCGAGCTGCGTTAGCTGACAGGGGACCTCTGCATGTATCTCTCTTCGCTCCCAGTTCTCTGTCAGTTTCTTATTCCATTCAGTGCTTGGCTGAGTTCTTTATCTCTTCATTTGATGCTTAGGGTTTCAGGACTGTCGTTTTCTGTTTGGCTTAGTTTTTCAGATCTTTGTTGTGGATGGACAGCGTGGTGCTTCTGCCTATAGCACCATGTTGCCTGGAAGTCATGAAAACATGTTTTAATTCCACTATCTTGTACTTTATACAGTTTCACCCCATAGGGAGTTCTATCTAAAAATCTTTAAGATAGGCAGGCAGCTTTATGAAAAATCTGTGGACACAGACTGCAAACTCCAGTATGCCCAGCCATATTGTAGTGCTAAAGACAAGCAAAGCTTTGCCAGGCACTTCATATGTTTATTGTTCTCATTCAATTAGCTTCCATAGTTTAGTTTCAGTTGACCAGAACCTCGCAGTGAGGAGACAAGGCACAAATCAGCTCCCAAGAAGTGTAACAGTTCATTGCTTCCGCACCCCCAGCTCCCGCCCAGGTTTGATATCCTTAGGCTCAGAGTGACAGAGGATTCTGTCAGCCTGACGTTGCATCTGAACTGCCACTAATGCCTCCCCCGACCACCACCACAGAAGAAATCAGACATTCCCAAAGCTGTGATAATCTTCTGTCAGAGATGAATGGAAGGTGTTTGTGTTGACAGGAAATACAGGGACTCAAGCCAACGTCACACTCTGGATGTATGGAGATGAAGGAGCCACTGGACTAATAAGTCTCAGCAAGGAAAACCCAGATCAGCTCTTCCTGCCAAGACAGGAAGATGAGTTTCAGGTAAACAGAATCAGCAGTAATGTTGTTGTTTGAATATTTTAACGGTCTTTCTATAATATAGAAGAGTCGTTTTTGTGTGAGACAGTGTGTTTATGTATGTGTGTTTGTGTGTGTGTTGTGTGAGTGTGTGCCCTATATAAAATAAATCTCTCGTCTATTAGAATTCCCATAAATTTTCTTAATGCTAATTGTACTGATTGTAATCAGCAAAGGAAATACTTTTTTTCTCACTTATCTTATACAAGTGAGGAAAGTTATAGAAGAAATGTGCTTTCTTTAAGGATACTTTGTTTTAGGTTATTGGTTTGAAACTGGCTCCATGAATCATCAGCCTCATCTCAAATCATATCGAGATTATATGCCATCTAGAGATTTTTCTGGTGATGAAAACTTTTCTTTTGTATACTTGCATATATTTGTAGATGTATGAGTGTGAAATTATTTTCTTGGCATCTTGGTAGGTCATGTTTGAAGCTCTGCCCATGCCACTCTAATTTCTTCCTTTTGTATTTCTTAGCGTGAGGAAGCTCTGGGCTGCTTTATTTTGATTACTGCTTGTTGCCTTTCCTAGTTCCTCAGGGCTTTGGCCAAATTTCACTTAGGACAATTACACTTCACTCCACTAATTCCACCCAAACCCCTGCAATGTGAAAGCTATATGGTTCTTTGGTGCACTGTTAAACAGCAGTTGTTCTCCCTGGAGAGTATATCCTTCTACATCATAAGGCTGGGTAGAGAATAGGGAATAATTGAGACCAACGTGAGTCACCAGAAAGCCATGCCAATGTTTTGGGCTGTGGTGCCTTGCAATCACTAATACCCAGATAGCTTTAGGTCTTTAGATCTGAGGCTGCCATGCTTCCTTTGCTATCATTAAACTAAGTTGTACTGAGGAAAAGCAATTTTCTGCACTCATGAGGGAGCACTTTGGTTGAATGCACAGGCAGGTATACTTTATACAACATATGCATTTCCAAAGATTATTTGAAAATGATTATTTAGAATTCAGAATGATCCCAATCAATAGCATTATATCTTATGGTTATATCCCCAGTATACCCTAAAAAGTCTGTTTTACCCATAACATACTTTGTGGTATATGTATTTATATGCTGGTGAATCCATCCATGTTTTTCTAGAAAAATTTACCCTGGGTTCAGTCTTGGAACTCATGGTATATAGAGTCTCAATATTAATTGCACATTGCAATTACCTGGGAGCTTAAAAAAATACTGATACTTGGTCCCACCTCCAGGGATTCTGGTTTAATTCATGTGGGGTACATCCTAGGAACTGAGGTTTTTAGAAAGCCCCCCAAGTGATTCTAAAGTGTAGCCAGGGTTAAGAATCACATTTACAGCATTAGACTGCAAATTAGATAAGCTGGATTGGAGTCCTGGTTTCCCATATATTAGATCTGTGATCTTAATTTCTCCAGGGCAACATTATCTTTACATGTAGAATGGAGACAATAATACCTGCTCTTTCTAAATTCCAGGGTGATCTGATGACAAAAAGAGAAAATGTGTATATATATATATATACATCTATACACACACGCACACACACACACACACAGAGTTATAGGGAATGTAGTAAGTTGGTTGAAACTAAAGGCCTTGGAGTCACGAAGAAGAGTTTCAAATCCAGATCTACCACTTGCTAGTTCTCTAAACGGAACAAGCCACTTATCCTCACTAATCCTGTTTTCTCCTCAGTAAAATGGAGGTAATAACACAAGTCCGATCTCAGCCTTATTCACTCTGGTCTCTGGAAATAACAAACAGGCATAAAACCATAGACACATAATAACTCGGCTTTTCAGTTATCACTTTATTGCTTTTCACTTGGAATGTGTAGAAAGAGGAAGTTTACATTCTTGGAACAACAAAAGGGTATCTAAATGTTGGCTAACATTTCATACTGCAGACTGTGGACTATTTCCCAATTCCTCTGGTGGGAAGAACAAGCTTCTGGGTTCTGTAGTGAGACCAGCTATGGAAATAAGAAAGTGAAGGGAGGTTGGCTGTGGGGGATCCCTTTTCCTTTAGGTCAATGCTAGCATAGTCCCTCTTGACCCTTCACAATCGATAGAGGAAACTGGATTTCTGAAAAAAAAAAAAAAAAGAGGATTACTAAGCATAGACATAGATATGAAAGAGCGATTCTTATGACTTTTGGGTCACCTGACCATCCCAGTTCTTTCCAGGTCTAGTCATAGGTAGACAATGATGCAAGTCAAACCTAATGTGCAAGTGCCTATTCACGTCTCTGTTCTGTGGAGGTAGATGGGCAGCCATGGGAGAAATAATGTTAATGGCTATTATTTAAGTCATTAAATAATAAGGTGCTATATTATTTGAAGGAACCCTGGCAACCCAGTGGCTAAGCACTTGGCTGCTAACCAGAAGGTTGCCTGTTTGAACCCACCAGTCACTCCTCAGGAGAAAGATGTGGCAGTTGGCTTCTGTTAAGATTTACAGCCCCTTGGAAACTCTATGAGGCAGTTCTACTCTGTCCTACAGGGTCACTATGAGTCAGAATCGAATTGCTGGCAGTAGGTTTAGGTTTTTTGGGTATTACCTTATTTAATCCTCACAGTTCAGTGCCCTAGGCATATCTTCTCATATTGAAAATATCTGCTTGTATATTTGTCTCCCTCACTAGACTATAAATTTCTCCAAATTAGGGACTGTGTTGTCATTTTCGTCTTTGTATACTTGTTGCCTTTCATAATGCCTAGCTTATCATGTTTAATAAGTATTTATTTTATTGAACTGGGACTTCTATTCAATAGCCATTATGTCCTTTCAACAGAAAAAGAAATTGAGGACAAGAGATATAAAAATACCATGTTTTACTCAGTTTGCAATACGTAGGATTCCAGTTTAGTTCAAAGTGAATCCAAAGCCTGTTCTCTGCAATACTGCCTGGATTAATAAATATTCTTGGGCTGTATCAAAAAACAAAGTACACAGACTCTATTGTTCAGGTTTGTTTTTTTTCTTCTTCTTGGACTTTGAACATCTTTGTCTTAGCCTAGGAATCAAAGAAGAAAGGATTTTCATAGTAGAGGGAAGCTCTAGACTCACATGTACTTTTCCTTAAGCTCATAGAAATAGCTGTGCTCAGCCTTTCTTTAATGAAAATTCCTTTTTTTCCTTCTTAAAAGTAGAGCCCATCTTTCTGTCAGTGAAACTCAGCTTCACAAGATCTGGCTTTCAGTGAGAAGTGAGTGGTAGTCAGAGAACTGAGAATATCTATGATCGTAATTCTCTTCTTTTCTCTTACTCCCCTGCACATTTTTAGTCAAGTCACAGGTTACTTCTATCTTATGTTCTGTGTCTGTGAGGTTCACTGATAGCTTCCTGAGAGGATTCTGAAAGGGTCCCTGAGAGCTTTTCAACTTTTAGGAACACAAAATGCATTTAGTATGAAGAATAGGAAGAATTTCTTAATGTGCTTAATTTGAATTTCTGTTAATTTTTTCTACTTTACATCTCATCACTTTGAAATAAGAAGCATTGGAAAGATATATAAGATCAGGATGGGCCATGGTGGAACTAGTGAACAACCTGAATGGAGCCTATAGAAGGTAATGTGTTTGATTTTGTGTTTCGTAGATATTCTATGATGAAAAGAAATAAGCAGGCTTCTTAAAGCAACGAGAATAGGATATTTTCCTAATTGTTGCAAATAAAGGAAACAATATTTTTTGTTGACATAACACTCTAAACAAATATTTTTTTTTTATGAAAGTTTTTTTAAATAGCATTTTTATCAGTATTCTTACAAAGGTAATCTGTATTGATGGAAGAAAATCTAAAAAATACAGTGAAACATAAGAACAAAAATGAGTTAGTTATTCATCAGTCATTAGATGAGCATTCTGGTAGTTCATTTTCTTCAAATATGTTTTTCTATGAATGTCTGTCTCTCTGTGTATGTGTCTGTGTTTACACACATACACTCACACACACATATACTCATTTTTCCCTTTTAGTGAAATTGAATATGCCATATATGCACTTTGGGATCCTACCTGTATTTTTTTTTACTTAATTATGGCAATAATAACAACAATTATAATAATAATAAATGGTTGTTGAGGGCGTACCATATGCTAGCTGCCTTACAAATATTATCGTATTTCTGTCAAACAACAACTCTGATTTAGGTACCATAAATATCTCTACTTTATAAAAAATTGAGGCTAAATAAAGTTGAAAAACTTGACTGAGGTCATCTAGAAAGTAGTCTTATTGTATGTTAGACTCTAAGGACTGATATCTTAACCACTATTATTGGGCCCTAAATTTGTTTTTAAAGATAGATGATAGATAGATAGGTAGATAGATAGATAGACAGACAGATAGCTGCCCTCAAGTCCACTCTCACTCATGATGACTTTATGTACAGAAGAACAAAACATTGCTCAGTTTTGTATCATCCTCATGCTTGCTGCCTGTTTGAGTCCGTGTTGTGGCTGTTGTACCAATTTGTCTCACCAAGGGTCTCTATCACTCATGGCCCTCTACTTCAACAAACATGATCTCCTCCTCCAGTAATTGATTCCTCTTGATAACACATCCAAAGCAAGCAAATCAGACAATGTTTTGTTATGATCCATAAGGTTTTCATTGGCTAGTTTTCAGAAGTACATCACCAGGCCTTTCTTCCTAGTTTTTGTTAGTCTGGAAGCGCTACTGAAACCTGTACACCATGAGTGACCCTGCTGGTATTTTAAATGGCAGTGTCATAGCTTCCAGCAACACAGCAACTTGCAAGCCACCACAGTATGACAAACTGACACATGGGTGGTAGATTTTAAAAATAGATGGCAATTATATGCTTAGAAACCATGAGATTTCCATACAGAATCAGTAGATTAAAGTGGAGTCAGATGACCAGGTTTGAATCATAGAACATCTCTGCTCTCTAGCTAGTGTTATGGATTGAATTATGTCTCCTAAAAATGTGTGTCAACTTGTCTAGGACATGATTCCCAGTATTGTGTGGTTGTCCACAATTTGGGATCTGATGTAATAATTCTATGTGTTGTAAATCCTAACCTCTATGATGTTAATGAGGCAGTTACGTTAAAGAGGCAGGACTCAATCTACAGGATTAGGTTGCATCTAGAGTCAGTCTCTTTTCAAATATAAAAGAGAGAAGCGAGTAGAGAGGAGAGAGACATCATTACCACAAAGAAAGAAGAGCCAGGAGTGGAGCAAGTTCTTTGATTCTAGTCCCCTTCACTGAGAATCTCCTAGTCAGGGGAAGCTTTATGACAAGGACTTTCCCCAGAGCTGACAGAGATAGAAAGCCTTCCCCTGGGGCTGGTGCCCTGAATTTGGACTTCTATCCTCTTAAACTGTGAGAGAAGAAATTCTGTTTGTTAAAGCCATCTACTTGTAGTATTTCTTAGTAGCACTAGATAACTAAGATACATAGTATTCCACTGTGTGTATGTACCACAGTTTGTTTATCCATTTATCCACTGATGGGCACTTAGGTTGTTTCTATCTTTCTGCTATTGTGAACAGTGCTGCAACGAACAAGGGGGTGCATATATCTATTCTCGTAATGGCTCTTATTTGTCTAGGATATATAACTAGGAGTGGGATTGCTGGGTCATATGGTATTTCTATTCGTAGCTTTTATTTTATTTTATTTTATTGTACTTCAGGTGAAGGCTTACAGAACAAATAGTTTCTCATGAAACAGTAGTACACATGTAGTTTTATGACATTGGTTAACAACCC